GTCGGAAGTTTGAAACCACCAGCTGCCTCCTGGGAGAAAGAGGGGGCTTTCTCATCCCATCAAGAGCGACAGTCTCAGAAACTCACAAGTGCTCTTATACCCTGTCCTAGGGGGTCACTATGAATTGACACCATTCGACGGCAGTGAGAGAGAGATACTGTGGTGTGTGTGTGTGTGTGTGTGTGTGTGTACCCATGCATTACCTATTTGGGCATTGCAGTGCCAGCCCCCACCCTCCTCACTAGCTATATGAGCTTGGGCCATCAATTAACTCCTGAGTCTGTTTTCTCATCTGGAAAATGGGCACGATAATTATGGAATTTATCTCATTGATTTGCTGGGGAGATTAAATGAGCTAAAGCCAGTAAAATGCTTGGCAGGGTGCCTGGCTTACAGTGATTACTGTACTCTTTCATGCTATCGCGTTGGCCCTAGTGTGGCAGGGCCAATTAGGAAGAGTTAAAAAAATAAATAAATAAAGCCTATTGGGAAATTGGCACAGGCGGATGAGCCCTTTTGGGGAACATTACTTTTAGTTCTACAGCCGAATGCCTGTTTACGCACACAGACTCGAGCGGGCCTGGCTGTCCAAACATCAGTCGTCATCATTTCTGGGCATTGAAAAAGAGCCTGTATGGCTCTTTATTTGTGGCAAACAGTCACCCAAAGGAAGCGGAAGAACCTTTGGAGAACAATGTGACCGTCCACACTCTGAATTTCACGCAGCAGGTGCGCTCCTGGGAACTGCCCGAGGAAATCATTCAAATGGAGGGAAAATTGGGAGCCATCAAAGTACACACCGGCAGCACTATTTATAACAGGTGCAAATGAGAACCGCGCAAGTGATTTCCACGAGGCTGATGAGGATTAAATTATCCGCTCAGTGGAACATGGTGCAGCCATGATAATGAGAAAGATGATGGCCGGCGCACAGCACTAGCAAACACGCATCCACAACAAGCTCAAACCTGGGTCTGCGAGGGAAAGAACTGCAGTAGGACGCAAACGCAGATCTGCATGCGAGTCCAGCAGGGCGAAACCAGGACCTGCATGCAGTTGGAGGAGGACCGGAAAGGAACACAGGACAGTAACTTTTTTTATTTCCTCCGCTCCCCCGTTCTTTCATTTAAAATGCTGTTTAATGTTTATCAATAAAGCTGCTTGGGGATTTTTTTTTTTTTTGCATTAAAAATCAGGTCGGTAGAGAAGGGGGAAGAGTGGAAAGAAGGGATGTCGGGATCAGAGAAAGTCACAAATGATCTGAATATACTGCAGACCGTTCCACCCCAGGGCTTGCTTGGGGCTCGGAGTGAGCTGCCGGAAAGAAGTACTTGAGTGAGTGGTGAGTGGGCTCCAACTCAGGGCAACTTTGGTAGCAAAGGGCGTGCTGGTAGCAGCGTGGGGGCTCCGCAGTGGGCAGCATTCTGCCTGCAGCCAACAGCTTAGAGTCACCAGGCCCTCCGAGGGAGCGACACGGGCTTTCAATGCACCAGGAGTTAAAAGCCCCCGAACCGCACAGGGGCAGTTCTACCCTGTCCTGCAGGGTTGCCGTGAGTCTGTTTATTACGGAGGCAGTGCTTTCGGTGATAAAGCAGCTAGGGTCAGGAATGCCCTTTATTGACAGAAAATGCAGAACAGAATTCCACATTCTCACAGAATCCAGATTTTTCCGGATCATGGAGGCTGGCTCACCACCCAACAGGACTGCTCGGAGGTCGTCTTAAAGTAAAAGAATCTCCCATGTTTTGAAACCACACCTTTCTCAACAAGGCCTTGGGGCGCTGGGCTCTTTTAAAGAGCACTTGGTCTCTATGCAGACCAAGCAGACACAGTAGGGAACCGGGCCAGGGAGTGTGTGGGACCAAAGGGGAAGCCCTTTGACATGGAGGGCGGGAAGAGTTGCACAATTCAAAGAACATAGCCCAAGTCACTACGTTGTCTGTGTAGAAACGACTGAATTGGTGAGGTTCTGTTGTGGACGTGAGCAGTCTCAACAAACAACAGGAACATCGTGCATATTAAAAAGGCTAAGGCCCTGCGCTCTGATCGGAGCCTCCTGGGAAAATGGACCGTGCTTGGTATGGATGAGTGCTGGCGAGCTGGCAGGAGTTAAGGCTGGGCAGGCTCCCGGAGGGCCGCGTGGCCTGGGGTGGCCACACAAAGGGCAGGTCTCGGTCTCAGAGTCAGCAATTCCTCCTCTTGGATCGATCCTAAACCGATGGGAATGATCGGTCCAGTGCATGGAAACATTTTCAGAAAAGTCTCCCCACATAGCCTTTATACCAATCAAAGGTTAGCCCCAGTTTCATCACAAAGGAATCTCCCCCAAGAAGAGGGCTGGCCCCATGCAGGTATGTCCCTGTGACGGAGGACAGTGAAATAAGGACAAAGCCCCAGGACAGAAAATCCCTTTGACAAGGACGAAGGTGCCCAGGGCAAGATACAGGTGACTGTGTTTGCTACAGATTAATAGGTAAGCACAAGTAAGCCCATGCTTGCTTTGCTTATTGGGCAATCTGACACTGGCCTAACCCATTCACACTGTCGTGACTGGAAGGAGCCATGTCCCCTTGTCCTTCATGACCCTGGAGAGTCAGAGGAAAGGCTGGCAAGCAGGTGGGACAAGATGACAGCAATCAGGGCTCCCCAAACTGGATTGATTCCTAGACTCTTCCTCTTAGAGATTCTGAGTCACCTGGTGAGGGTGGGACCAGTCTGAGTCACCAAAGGTGATCTGTGCCACCCCCACTGGCCCTGGCTTCTGCCCAGCCCCTCTGCAGAGGCCTCGTGAGATGCCCAGCAGGGAGGGACCGGACAGCTCAAGTGGCACGAGGGCTGGCAGCGGGGCGACACTTGAGTGGGCCTGGGCTTATCTGCTGGCACAGCTGCCCCGGCTTGTGCTCACTTCTGGAATATCAAGATCGGGGAAGGCTTGGGCTGAGGCTGCCCCAGGGCCACACAGGCCACCCTACGAATGCCCCAGGGGCAGAGGGCATAGTGCGGACAACTGCACCTCCTCTCTCCTGCTCCCAGCTCTCCAGGGCCCAGTCCTCTCCAGGCTCCCTGCTTCTGCCCCCAGTCCTCTGCTGCTAGCTCTGGGGTTTCTCGCTTTACCCACCTATCGACATGGTGGTGAGTGCAGGGCCCAGGCAGGTTTCATTCCTCTCTCTCTGCCCAGCGCAGTGTTTGGCAAACCGTTAGCACTCGCTAAATATTTCACGAATAAAGGAGAGGTAGTAACGCTTACCATGTTACCACGGGGTCACAGAAGGACTGATAGTCACACCCACTAGGCACACGGGGATTGCACGTGCTCACCTGGAGCGGAGGAACACTCCTCCTTGGTCACCCAGCAGTAAGTATTGCAGCAGTAAGAATCGCATTAATCTAGGCACGTGATGCCTTCCGACACGATAACGCAAGTGACGGAGCCTCTTCCCAGGAAAATACCCCTCCGCGCGCGCGCATGCACACACACACACACACACACACAAACCTTCATGAGACAGACTGACATGGTGGCTCCAACAATGGGCTCAAATAGATCAACAGAGGGGATGGCACAAGCCAACGAATTAATGTGGCTCTTCTAGTCAGTCTCTCTCAACTCCCCCCAAGTGACCTTTTTTTCCTGATAGGTAAGAGGGGCCCAGGGAGGTACTGTTAAGATTCAGTCGTGAAAGCTGAACAGGACTCTTATTAATGAGTGCCACCCGACTGCATATCAAATGCATCCTCTCAGAACCCAGGTGTGGGAAGCTCACCACCAGCTAGAGTTTGGAGCGGACGCGGCCTCTGGCCCCGAGATCCGTGCATGGGGCACCTCCTTGACCTAGCAGGCAGCTGTGGTGCCGGAGGAGCAGCGGCAGCAGAACCAGGCGCTGGGGCACGAGAGTGGTGGCCTGCCCAGCCCAGATTAAAGCTGAGTACTTTGGGGCAGAAGGCGGCTTGTGGAGTGGGCACTTACTTGGGGGCCTGGGCTTGCTGAATGCCTTTGGGCCGAGGCTTACAGTGGAGTGGCATGCCCTTCGGGCATTTATTAGCAGCCCTGAAAGAACTTTGTAACGTGTTCTAACTGAACAACTGCATCCTGAACATCTCTCGCCCAGATAAAAGAAATACCAGTCAAACCAGGCTGCAGTTGGGTTTATTAAAAACATAAATAACACCCTGCCACTACTTCACAGGTAGAATGACAGAGGGTTTTAATTGCTGCATCCGCCTGAATTCTCCCCCTTCTTGTGCTCCAGGAATGGTCTGGGGCAGAGGTGAGGAGGGTGGCAGGGACTTGGGAGGATCGGTGTGGGTCCTGGCTGCCAGAAAAGAGGGGGTGAGGCTTGCTCTGATCTTCCCCACGGTTCTTGGGCAGCAGGCTTTGGGGCTGGAGACACGTGGCACCGCCAGCAGATGCTTCTATGTGCTCTTGTGTATCGCAGGGGCTGGAAGTCAGGGAACTACATTTCCCAGAGTCTCTTGCCAAGGAGGATCGGCTTTAGAGTCCGTGGATGGGATGCTAGCCGCTGGCCAACTCGTGGCCTTTGGCAGACAGCAAACATGAGCTGTTGCAGCATCTGAGCATTTCTCATTGATCGTCGGCTTGAGTGTTGCTGGCATGAGAACCCTGCAACTTTCTGGGTCCTGACCACTGGGGATAGCTTTTCTTTTGCATGCCTCTACTCCCACTTCATTCCTGTGTTAAATCTCTTCCTGCATGAGGTACCTAGAAGAGATTTGACTCATGACCCTCCAGAGGGTATTCCTTATGGAAAGATTTCCAAACACTATCCTTCATTCAGAACAACAAAGAAAAGGCTCACAGAAGCTGCTGCAAGGGCTAGGCTGACCCCAGCTGTGGGGTGCACCCACCCCCTGGCCTTGAGTCTTGAGATACTGGGTGGACTCCAGGCCACAGACCGTAAATGTGCTCCCATGCATCTCACTGGACCCCTCCACCTGGGGATGCCAGAATCACCCAGGAAGTGGTGGCACCTGCCGGCAGCGGCAGTGGGGAGATATATGTAGTTGTCTACAGCCCCCCGGGCCCCCTTGACACTGCTTGGTACAGACGGGGCAGGGGCTGGTGGTGTCATCTTCCAGGCACAGGGGAGGAGCATTTCAGCTGCCAGGCCTCTTGGAGTCGAGGAAGGAGGGTCAGCAACAGGGAGTCCAGCACAGCCAGCCCATCCCAGGAGCAGCGGAGACCTCTGGAAATCCAAGGGGCCTGAATGTGACTGCTGCACCTTACCACTTCCAGTTCCTGCCCCTCCAGCAGGGCCAAGCCATCTTCCCTCCCTTCCTCTGGTCTCCACCTGTAGCTGGGACTCCTCAAGAGCCTCACCCCCCACACCTGTGATCCAGCAGCAAGAAGCCCTGCTCCTGCAGCTCCTGCACCTCCTTGCTTGTCCCAAACACGTCCCACAGACTCAGCTGGGCCTCAAACTGCTGCCAGTGCTGGGGAGACGGGAAGCATCAGAGGCAAGGGACCTGAGGCCGGGCAACTCATCTAAGGGTACGGTGGGAGGGGCGGGAGAGTCAAGTCCAGTACTGGGAGCTTGGTGGCTGACTCAGCAGTCCACGCACTGCTCCACCAGGTCTCTCAGCCATGGGGCCAGCAGCGGGGGGCAAAGTCCCCCCATTCCATGTCCAGGTTCACGCTCAGCTCCCAGCCAAACCGTCTCCTCCACCCTTCCCCACTCTCCCCTGGCCGCCAGCCCTCCACATGTCTCTGCACTTCCTACATGAGGTTTCCGTGCTGCCTGCACCCATTGTCTAATCTCCCTCACACAGCTGAGAAAACGGAGCTCCAAGAGGGGAGAGGAGGCTAGGTACCTGCCCAGTGGGGCAGCACAGCTGGGCCTTGAACCCGGCTCGCTGAAGTGCTAGCCCTGGCTTCTCACCATGCCCTTGCAGGCCTGCAGCTGACAGCCTCCAGGTGACTGGGAGTTGTGTGGGGGGCAGGGGGTGGTGAGTGAGGAGGGAGGGAGTGTGCCAGGCTGAGGAGGAGGTGGTGAGCCTGAGCCACGCCCCCTTACCTGGTGGGTGAGCCCCACGTCTGTGCGGAGCCCCATGGCCAACACTTCCTCCAGCCTGGATGGAAAATCAGCAAGGTTTGTGGGGAGCCTGGGCCTCCCCCAACCTTCCAGCCCAGCAACAGGGTGTGGGTGTGAGGAGCTTCTGGGGCCACATAGCAAAGGGGAACAAAGGTAGATGTACAAACGGGGTGGTCCTGGAAGTGTGGGGGCCCCCGGATGAGGAGCCTGTGCCCTCAGATACTCACAGCTCCAGCTCACCCAGTGGGACCCGCTTCCGGGTGCCGTGCCCAAACAGTTTGACTTCCTTCATCCAGTTGTCGGGCTCCAGGGTCTGGATCCGAGCCTCCCGGCTGTGGCCCCGGGCGCCCTGGGGCAGGAACCGCCCATGGGCCCCTGACAAGCAGGAGCATCTGTTAATAGCAGCCTACATTGGGCACTTCCCCCAATGCGCTTACAGTGGGGTCCCGGGACCCGTGGCGTACACATGTCAGGGAGAGGAGACATGTCTGGAGTCAGGTGGGGCCTAGCCATCTGGGCAACCTGAGACCCCGGTGCCAGGCTCCGTGTTCGGCACTGTAATGAAGTGCCATCCTCTGAGGTAGGTATTATTTCTTGCCACACTGGGCATATGAGGAAATGGAGGCATGGGGAGATTAAGTATGTGGCCTGAGACCACACAGCCAGCAAGTGACAGGCCCATGACACATCTGTCCAAGTCACCCTTTAATTGGTCCATGGCCTCATTGGGGGTGGGGGTGGGCAAGCAGACTCACCAGGCCCGACGCCAAGGTACTGAGCGCACTGCCAGTACTGCCAATTGTGGGTGCTGAGCGCCCCCTGTGGGGAGGCAGGGGACAGTCGGTGTGGCGGATGCTCCCTCTCCTGACCCAGAGCCCACAGGCCACAGCTCAGCCCAGCACCCACATTGCGGGCGAAGTTGGAGACCTCATACTGGCGGAAGCCGGCTTCCTGAAGGGTTACCCGTCCCTTATGGTACATCTCGGCGGCGAGCTCGGGGTCAGGGGCGGGCAGGGCCCCCTGCTGCACCTGGGCGAAGAGTGCAGTGCCCCGCTCCAGGGTCAGCTGGTAGAGGGAGACGTGGTCGTCGCAGTGGCGCAGCAGTTCCTGCAGCTGTCCCAGCCACGGCCCCACCCGCTGCGCTGGGAGTCCCAGCATTAGGTCCACGGAGACGCGCCCAGGGAAGAGGCGCCGGGCCTCCGCCAGGGTCCGCAGAGCATCGCAGGCCGAGTGAGTGCGCCCCAGAAGCCGGAGCTCGGCGTCATCCAGGGACTGGGGAGAGAGAGAGCAGGCTGGGTGTAAGCCAGGGTCAGCTCAGCAGGCTGAGGACACAGAATCAGGGGAAAGGAGGGGCTGATCTGGGGGTCAGGGAGGCAAGCAGACAGGCGGGGGTAGCCAAGATGAAGGGGCACCATGTGCTGAGCATCTTATTTAGTCCTGAATAATCCCTGATACAGTCTCATTCGACGATGAGGAGACCGAGGCCCACAACCTACCCACTGGCAAAGTCAGGGCTGGAATTTAGCACGGTCCTACTCTGATACTGGTGATGCAGTAGTTAAAGCACTCAGTTGCTAACCCAAAGGCCAGTGGTTGGGACCCACCAGCCTCTCGGAGGGAGAAATCAAATGATCCACTGCACCATGTTAAGTTCTTGCTGCACAAGGCCTTTGTAAAATATTCAAGCACTCGGAGGACTAAGGGGAGCCTGACCGGAGTCACGGTCTTTTCAGTGGCCTCCCATGCGTGTGAAAGCCAGACAATGAATAAGGAAGACTGCAGATGAATGGGTTCACACGTGTGAATTACCGTACCAGCAAAGGATGCTGAAAGTACTAGGGACGGCCCGAAAAAACAAATGTGGAAGAAGTACAGTGGGAATGCTCCTTCGAAGCAAGGGTGGCAAGGCTCTGGACATAGTTCATCAGGAGAGACCAGCCTCCGGAGAAGGGCATCGTCATTGGTGAAAAAGATTCTTCTTTGACGGACGGACAACAGTGGTTGCCACAAGGCGCTCTGGGATAAATGAGAAGGTGGCGTGGTGGGGCAGGGCTTCCCTCCAGTTTACAGGCTTGTTATGAACTGGTTTGGCCTCAGGGCGCCTAATAACACAGCACTGTAGAAACTCAACAACTGTGACCCGAGGGAAGACAGACTGAGGTCTGGGTACACTGGGGTGGGGTGGGCCATGGTTACCTGGAGGCCGATGGACAGCCTGTTGACCCCTGCTGTCCCAAACTCTGCCAGCCTGGAGCCTGGGGACGAGGTGGGGTTAGCCTCCAAGGTGACCTCTGTATCTGCAGGCAAGTGGGCTACCTGTGCCACGGCCTCCAGGACAGCTCCCACAGTGCGGGGACTGGCCAGGCTGGGGGTGCCCCCACCGAAGAACACTGATTCCACCCTGGGGGGAGAGGTTGAAGATGACACCTGGGCGGCCACCTGTGCTATCCACCCCCAAAGACTTCCCCAGGCCCCGCCTACTGCTCCCAGCACCCACCGCCGCACCCCGCTAATCCGCAGCAGTGTCTGGGCCTCGGTCACCAGACAGCTCCGGACCGCCGCCTCCTCCACTCCGCGGGGGATGTACTTGTTGAAGTTGCAGTAGCTGCAGCGCTTCTCGCAGTACGGCCACTGGGGGCAGTGTAGGCGCGGGGTGAGGGGCGCCCCCAGCCATTCCACTCGCGCGATACGCCCCTCCCCATTTTAGACCCAGCAGCAGGAGCT